GGTATTTTCGAAAAGTTATTACTTTAAAAACTAAATTCGTGAAGGCTTTGTTTGTTTGTAGTGAAGCACAGAGCTACTCAATCTGCTATCAGTGCTTTGTCCACCACGAATATCGAAACCCAGTTTCTAGCGGTATAATTCCGAAGACATGTACCACGGAGGATAGATAGGGGAGGGGTGCATGAAGGCTTTTGGTACAAATTACGTTGTGTGAAGTTTATAAATTCAATTTACGTCTATTGATGTTTTGTTTGTTTGTTGTTAAGTGCAAAGCTACACATGGGGCTATCTACGCTGTGCCCACCACAAGTATCGAAACATGTTTTCTTAGCGTAGGGGGCTACATCTGTTGAAGATGGTCGTTTACGTTACCAATGAAAGGCTTGAGAGCCAGCCAAACATATCCTAATAACTATTTTCGTATTGTAAATAATGTTTTATGATTTATAGATTAACATGAAAACAAAAGTTATTCAAAACTATGACACTTTTTTAAATAATGTACTCTCAAACGTAAGTCCTTTTACTTTTAACAAACAATATATTTTCAATGTAAAAGGAGTAACTGCAGTTGTACTGAAAGCTCAAAAATAACTACAAAACAATTGGGTTTTGTCGTAATGTTGAGTAATTCGTTCCATAAATGTAAGTCAAGGTTAATACTGTCTACAGTTTTTGAAACTGAAACCGAGAATATATCTTGGTAATATATAAGAAATAGTACTGGTAATTTCCTAGATCAAAGTCACACTACGAGTCAACCACTTTCGTTATATTGAGAGCAATTTGAGATTTGGAAAATTTGCCAAACTTGTTAATGTTAAGAAAAAGTTAATGGCCTATGAAGAAATTGTTATGCTCATTATATAATATTCGAGTTATAAAGAAATTAAGAAAAATATAAAGTAAACAAATAGAAGACAAAGTGCCTCAGGTGACTTAAGAATAATTTGTTTAGAAATAATAACGCAATTTCTTAATTAACAGATATTGACTTTTCGTTCAAAGTTTTAAAATTCACAGTTATATCATGAATTGAAACTTTAAACCCACGTCAAGTTCTTAGAAGCTGAACATTACTTAACTGTGCTTTCGTTTCAAGAAAAGTTTCAATACAGAAGAATTGTGACTAAGCTGACAATGACCTATAAAGGTAAAAAACAAGAATATCACATTTTAATCAAACTGTATTTATGCGCTTGATACGTCGCAACACCTTCAGTCTGCATTAATTTTCTTGCTAAAGTTAGATCTCCAGCTCTTGGGTTCTAAAGAATTCAACTGGTCTAAGAACCGGGTTTTACTAGTTCTTCCTAGTAATAAAAATATATGTTACAGCATTCACAGCAATTTTTTATAATGCTGTGAACGTTTATGAAGAAGCTTGACCTAAGGTTGTGGTGGGTTTTCCTTGATGCATGCCTGAAGTGGCCTTTTCCTGGAACGAATTCAACGTGAAAAATAAATAACCCTTTCCTTGTCACACATGGGAAGATCAATGGTACCTCGGCAAAGCTATTTTTTTTCTTCTACTCAGAAAATAGTCGATCATAATTTGCAAGTAACCTTTTTTTGATACTATTGTATATATATAAAGAGTCAGCAAATACGGTTAATAGTACACTCCACATCCAAGGAGAAAGAACGTTCGAGACCAAAAAGGTAAGAAGCTCTTTTTGTTTACTTTTAGCGATAACATTTATCAAAGATTGTAGAAGAAATATATATATGACCACTGAAAATTGCTATTACTATGCAGGCTATAACATAATGCATGATATGTGCCAGTTTGCAGAAAATGGAAAATAAAGAATTCATAAAATCTGTCCAGAAATGTTTGTAAAGAGTAAAATTAGAAGATGAGCTAGAGTTAATCATGATTTCATCGTGGTTTATTTGTCACTGTAACTTACTTTGATAAAAATGATGGTAATGATTTTTACTTTAGAATAATATTGTATCTTTCTTGGAAATTAATAACTATTGTAACTTTTATTTTTACAAACAGTGTTATACTTGAGAAAGTACTGATTGTTCTCTCATTTACATGAAACAAAGGAAAATTATAATTATATATATATAGACTTCGCTCGGGTTATGCCCTCCAGCGGCACAGCCGTATGTCTGCAGACTTACAACGCTAGAAAACGAGTTTCGATACCCATGGTGGGCAGAGCACAGATAGCCCATTATGTAGCTTTGTACATAACTACAAACAACGTTCGGGTTATTAGGTTCATATATTCTAGATTACTATGTCAGTGTGTATATTCTGAACCTATTTTATCATAAAAGAATAGTCAAAAAATGTTTATACATTTTCATTTCCCAAAAACATAAAAAAGTTATAAAGAAAGTACACTTTCTTTATCATTGCGTTAAGTATTTCAAATTTATATTTGTTGACCTAGCCTAGAGACAAGTGCATAAAATTTATCATGTCTGTCTTTCTATGATTTATATTTGTAATATAATGAACCACTTGCTTTCTATGTGGTTCTTCGCTAGCTTACCTCATTAAAAAGATGGGCGTGCATGCGTACACCACGTGGATAAGTTAAGTAATAATGCCTAGGTGCACACCCTCATGATCCACTTAGTATGGGTGTAAATTATCAGGTTTATAGGTTCGTTCCGCTTGGAGCTATTGCGGTCACACACTCATAGACACGCTATTTTATTAATATATACTACCCTCTGCTGTGAGCTACAGTTTCGCCTATTCAAGACTCTTCAGCACAGCTTGGGTCAGCAAACTCAACAGATTCAAAACCTTATAGATATTATATAGGCTTCACCTTTATAAGAGGACTAATGGTATTTCTTTGGTTTGCTGACACAGACTGATGAGCCTTGAATGGAAACCATTACCCTTTAAACACTAACTAGAATTAAAAGCTTGTTGGTAAATGTGCGATGTAAAGTAATGCAAATATTGTCATGATTTCTACATGAAAAACATCTTAAAATGGAGCATATCGGCAGTTATTTATATTGTTGGTTTTTATTAACAAGGTAATGAAATTTGATAGTATATATAAGAACTAGTATAAAAGCCCGTCAATCATGAAAGGAAACCATTGCTTTAAGGCCAAGTAGGTAATATATGTGTTAAAATACCAAAATATATTTATTAATTAACATTTAAACACTACTTAAAACTTCTTAAACACTCTCTCTATAACGTTAGTCATAGTAGGCCTATTTGTAGTCTAATTTAAGCACTAAGCCTAATACATAAACGTAACGTAAGGTTTAGCTGAAACATTACTTATCAAATTTTATTTTGCTTTTGGATACAACTAAATGTCATAATACTTTTGAATTGAAGTATTTTGCCATTATATTACCGAAGTTATAAAAAAATTAAAAAATGAGAAAAACAAATTTTCTTAACAGATCAACATGAATATTGACCATTCAACATAAACATTACAGTTGGCCAAAAACAAACATGTAATAGTTTTGTTGCTAAGCGACGAAGTATATTGCTGAGAATTACCAAAAAAAAAAGAGTGTGAAAACGTTCTCAACAGAGTGACAAATGGAAAACGCCTTTTATAATCAGATATTCCTTATTTCATATGCATCATAATATTTTGTGCTGATGTAGAAACGTAGCAGTTTCATCTGTAAGAAGAGTGTATAATTAAATTACAAAAATTTATATCAATGGGATTTTGAGTCCATTTTATTTCATCATATAGTAACCTAAATTAATTTGGGATGTGAATAATGTTATGACATTTCGTCGAATTCATTCTTCAACATTATACAGCTGACAAACCGTGAGTGTGTGTACATATGTGTGTTTGTATATACATATGTTAAGATGACCAGTGTTGAAATTAAAAAGAGAATCTGTAACGTAGAGTCCCAATGCATTTTTTGATTGGCTGTATGCTTAACCTCCACCACCTCCTGGTTTACCTGATCCCCAGTTTCCTGAACCACAAGACGAACAGTGTTTGCCCTGAATTTCACTGCCAATGCAGTTGTATATAATTGCCGAAAGTACTAACACCAGAGAAATTTTCGTAATCATTTTGTTTTCTTAATACCTGGAAATATGCAAAAAATATATGAAAAAATATGCTTTCATATATATTTTGTCACAATTATAACCAAAAATTAGTGGCTAATTAACAGCAGTAACTAGTAATGTGTTATATCGTAATCCCTTTACCACTGCCAAAACCTCCACCCCCACCTCCGCCTCCGCCTCCACCACCACCACTTCCACTACCACTACCAAATCCAAATCCACCTCCATATCCTTTACCAGAACCTCCCCCTCCTCCTCCCCTTTTGGAGGTGGCAGTGGTTGTCCAAGTCCGCCTCCACTTCCCCCACCATGCCCAGTACCTACTCCTAGCCCACCACTATGCCCGCCTCCAAGTCCACCTCCTTGTCCAAGTCCGCCTCCACTTCCCCCACCATACCCAGCTCCTACTCCTAGCCCACCACCATGCCCGCCTCCAAGTCCACCTCTCCTACTCCTAGCCCACCACTATGCCCGCCTCCAAGTCCACCTCCCCACTTCCTTGTCCAAGTCCGCCACCACTTCCTCCACCATGCCCAGAGGTGGACTTGGAGGCGGGCATAGTGGTGGGCTAGGAGTAGGAGCCGGGCAATTCGTTCTCAGGAGCATTCAGTAGGAAGATTTTTACTACTTAGAAGTTTATATCCTCATGCTACTAAAGAATTTTCCTTACAAAAAATTATAACTTATAGTTAAGACTGTAAATTCTTTATTATATTTTGCTAGTGGAAATGTATCTGTGTAATGACAGTGAATTTTATGATATATAGGTGCATATTTCTTTTAAATTTCGATACCCGTGGTGGGCAGAGCACAGATATCACATTGTGTAGCTTTGTGATTAATTACAAACAAACAAACTCTTTCTAAGTTATTTTCAACGCGAAAATGGCGATGATATCAAACAATGGTAAACGTATGTAATAATTTCGTGTTAATAAACAGACTTTTCAAAACATTTTTGGGTATGTAGTTAAGGCGTATTTATTTAACAAAGTACGACAAATTTTATATACAGTTCATTTTGTAGGAATTACATTCAACGAAATATCTGAGTCTTCTCGCACAGAGCATAAATGTGATCCGATTTTAAGTTAAAAATTAAAAGTTGACATTTTAGCTTAAGTCGAAATGCTTCATACAGGATTTCTCTGAAAGAGAGTAGAAGTTTGAATAAAATATAAAAACAGAACGTATTTTTTTGCAAAGAAATTAAGATTTCAACTGGTAACAAATACGAAATGAATTAATATTTTAAAAATATTACAACAAACAAAAAGCGGGTGTTTTGAAATGATTGGCTCTAAACATTTCCACATTAAATCACTTGTTTATTAGAATAATTACTTTAGGCTGTAACAAATACTCCCGTGTAAATAGCAGCTAGAGTAAATAAATTTGAATTACACAGGCTGGATACATAACTGTGCTCATTCATGTAGAGTTTTGTAAAGTATATTTATTTAATACTATAAAGTAAATGAAAGATTTTATTTGAATATTTTAGGTGTTACTTCTTATTAGGCCACAAAAGTATGACGGGCTACGATGCTACTTGTAAACAGAAATGAATATATAGGACTTCATTTTTAGCCAACTTAAGTGTTCTATATCAGTACATAAAGTGAAAGAGGTAAATTTGCAATTATATTAGTCTTTAGTGTGGTTGAATATGTATGGCAATCTTCATGAGGTATAATACAAAAATTTAAAGTATTCTAACGTAATTCGATGATTCAAAACAATTTTGCCTATATGTGACTTACACGGTAAGAAATATTCCTATATGTTCCTATATTAATGCAGTTTTATATTCATAATTGGAAAACGAGGCGTTTTTCATTAACTTAGTTTTTCAATACCCTTTGAATTCTTTAAGGTCAGATAAAACAAGAAAAGAAATTTACAATATTCTCTAGTACTTATATTTGTTGTTATATATTACATTCTGTGAATGCTGAAAAAACGTTTCATTAAAAAATTCTCACCTTAAGCTTCAGTTTTGTATTCAAAAGTTTCTACTTTTTCCGAAACAGGCTTCGTGAGTTCCAGTTCATTGTTACCTATTACACAATAATAATCATAATGATATAGATACATAGAATATATAGTTTATTAATGGTAAACTAACAAGTATTATGATTTTCAATAACAGCAAAATATTCATTAAACTAATTAAGAGGAGAAATGAAGAATTTTTGAAATATATGTAATTTATTTGTGTAACTTCCTTATTATATAACAAGATGAATATAATATTTTAATATGCATACCAGTAGATCCTGATCCTTTACGTCCCCATATTCCTCCACTTCCTGCGGGTAAGCATGTTGCTTTAGGCACGCATTTGTAATGACATTTAACAGGATTACAGTGTTTCAAGGAGCAAATATAAAGACAATTTGGGAGAGTATGGAATTGATGAGATGAATGTCCTTCACCATAACTGATGCCACTTCCAAGTCCTCCAAGTCCACCACCTTGTCCAAGTCCTCCTCCATGTCCACCACCTTGTCCAAAGCCTCCTCCAAGTCCTCCTCCATGTCCACCACCTTGTCCAAATCCTCCTCCAAGTCCTCCTCCATGTCCACCACCTTGTCCAAGTCCTCCTCCATGTCCACCACCTTGTCCAAGTCCTCCTCCAAGTCCACCTCCTTGTCCACTTCCCCCACTATGTCCTCCTCCACTACCTTGTCCAAGTCCACCCCCAAGTCCACTTCCCCCACCATGCCCGGCTCCTCCTCCAAGTCCACTTCCCCCACCATGCCCAGCTCCTCCTCCAAGACCACTTCCTTGTCCAAGTCCGCCTCCACTTCCCCCACTATAAGAATTTAGAAAATATTCAAAAAACTTTTGTAAGTATGAAAATTGTTTATTCATACGAAACAGTTAATACATAATTTTAGATATGAATTCATAATCTTTTCTCTACTGGACTGTATCAGTGTTTTATAATTACTTGCTGAGAGCTGAATTGAACTTAAGATATTTTATATATGATATTTAAAACTAATAGCCATATTAATATTTTCATAAGTTAATTACGTATGCGTATACACAAATTTTTACTGATTATAATGTATCTATTTCATTTTATTTGATAGTATTCACGATGATGCTGTACTTCCCTTAATGCATCGCTTACAAACGTATAAAATAACAGCTATATATGCTAAAGCGAGGACGCGTCACCTCAGAGACAAGACATTATATAAAGAACCTATATATACTTGTTTCACAGCAATTTCCAAACATTCAATAGTGCAATGCGGTCAAGATAGATTTATGTTTAGAAAATTGTCCAGAAGAAGGCAGAGTCTTAAATGATGCAGAGACAAATTGCTTAACATTTCTAAGAAGGGAACCTTCTGTGTTGTCTGGGGAGTGGGTAAACTCCCACATAAAAACGTTAATAACAGCGTACTTGGAAATCACAACACCAAAATAACATCACAATCAGCAAAGAAACGACTTTGGTTGCAAAATAGCAGCTTTTGACGGAAAACAGTTTTACAGTGAAGCTGGACATATTTTCTTGTGCTTTTTATAAGAAACACTGATCTCAATTAAAAGAAAAAGTTAACAACGCAAACAATCACAGACATCTGCCACACTTCAAAATTAATGACTTTTTTCAAGATAAATATTCCGAAGAAACTTGGAACAAGCAATCGCATTTAACCACACATTTTTGATGTCTCTCTAATATATGTTTTTACCTTTTTGTATCTAAATATTGTCTTAGAAGCCCGTCTTTGCGGTGAGTGAAAGGACTTTAGAACGTTTGTCAAAATGTGAAGTTAAAAGTAACCTAGCTGTTTTTTTCCAGGAGCTTGTTACATGGAAACTGTAGCGTTTAGAAACAGCTCGTAGATACAGTCGACAAAATAGCAACAAGCAACGATTAAAAATTAGTGTCAAGGACAACACGGGACAAGTATCATTGTTCGCATAAAACTCTATTATCTTGGAAGCAAATGTCCTTAAAAGTTGGAGGTCTATGAGAGGTTTTTCAAGTCGTGTGATCCAGTTTCAACTTCGCTATCTTTCAAAAGTGTTGATAAACAAAATAGTGTTGTGTTTTAAGCTAAATTAAGAAAATTCATTATTTTGCGTTGAGCTAAAAAATGTTTTACTCAGTTATTCGTTTTTTTACTTTTTAAAATCTTAAAGGATTAATAAATCTTGAAGCATTTTCCAAAATTCTCGTGGTCTTAAATAAATAAATAACCTATTTAGAAATGTATATACCTTTCAACCGTTTTGTATATTTGTAGTTAAGCACAAAGCTATCTGCGACTATCACGGGTATCGAAACCTGGTTTCTAGTGTTATAAGTTGGCAGACTTACCAACGTGTTATTGGGGAAGCCTTTTAATGAAAAATAAAAGAAATATAATAACAAATGTGTTTCGATGGTGAATTATGAATATAGAGTAGTTTCAGGAATGTTCGAAAAACTAATAATGATATTTACAGAACAGGATGTCGCCTGAGGAACATTAATTTTTCTCGTATGTAGAATCATATCCAAGGAGGCTGTAAAATAGTTTTTGATGAACAGAATACTGCTTCTATTTAACTATTGTATAGAAGAAGACTAAAGAAACCTGTTAATCTAACCTTATTTTTAATTTTGAAGATAAAGCTGGTATTCAGTTATTAACTTCTGTAACATACAACAGAGCTATTGTAGTATATCCATTCTTCTATTTGCACCTACCGAAATTTTCATTAATTTAACTGTGTTTGTAATAATGGAATTAAAAATGGTTTTTACATTGAATATAATCAAATTGTTAATAGTTTGAACGAATATCCATGAATCTATTTTTGTCTCTCTGTTATGATGCAAACCATTAAAACAACAGGATTTGTGGATCATGGACACGCAGATAATTCGCGAAATCAAGGAAATTAAGGTTTAGTGTTCATACTTATGGAAATATTCAAATCTACAAATCACCACTGGGTTTCTTCTTTTCCCACACTGAAATAAACTGTAGCATTTTACATTTCTCTCTCTCACTTTTTGTTTTATATGTAGACACACTTAGTAGTATGGGATTTTACGTGAAAGGATTTCACTGTGATAAGAAAGTGATCTGAAAATCACAGTGAACAAGTCATAATTTTAGCATAAAATTTAAAATATTATGTATTTAATAATTCACATGTTTTCTCAAGTAATTAACAAATAACTTGTGAAAATGTAGCTGTAGTATTGATGGCAAAGTAGTATCATGTAAACACATCTTTTTACTGTTGAACACTGGGTTCTCGAACTCAGTTGGTCTACGAATCGTTTCAAAGATGATAAAGCAGCATTTTGACTTGCCACCATTCTTTAAAATGAAGGTAAAGTGGGAAACACAATTTTTCAGCCACATTGGCTTAGCTGCGCTACTCACCTATATATATTCTTGACACTTATCCACATACAATTGATTCTCATGTCGAACTGGTCTTTGGAAAAATGTTTCATAATACATTATAAATTATACTCTTATGATTTAATATGACTTTAATTCGTACCGTGACGAATTTATCATGGTATATTTATTTTAATATCTACGTTTATTTAGATTAAGTTCATATTTAGAAATATACATACCTTATATTGTTAAATATGTATTGC